CCCCGGTGCTTGGCTCCTGCAGTCATCGACCTGCTGATGGCGAGCGAGGCCCGGCAGATGGCCAGCATAACGCACAAGATCCGGATGGACCTCCTGACCGTTAATGACGTTTACCTCCTGTCCACCTTCCGCCTGCCTCCCAAGCAGGGGGGGACCCTCTTCGGCCTCTACTCCAAGAAGGACAACACGAGGTGGCTGGAGGTCTCTGTGGTGGGGAAAATCAACAAAGGTGGGTGCCTGCTGCATGGGGATGTGCTGGCCCTGGTCTTGCCGTGATGCTCAGAGAGAAATGGAGACCAAGTTCCTGTCCGTGGGGCCCTCTGGGGGGAGCAGTGGGATGCACGTGGGTCCCAGGGGGCTGCTGGCACTGGCAGGGAGAGCTGATGGCCCCATCCTGCTCCTCCACAGTCCTGGTGCGCTACCTGCGGGAAGACAACAAGCTGCACTCGGTCAACCTGCAGCACGCGCACGTGGCGGATGGGCAGAGCCACACCATCATCGTGCGCCTGAGTGGGCTGCGCGGGGACATGCTGAGCGTGGAGCTCTACGTCGACTGCAAGCAGATGGATTCCAGCGTGGGGCTGCCCGAGCTGTCAGAGATCCCCCTGGCAGAGGTGGAGTCCATCGAGCTGCGCACAGGGCAGAAGGCTTACCAGAGGATGCAGGTGAGTGCCGGGACCCCCTGGAGGGCCGAGACCCCCCCACACACACTCCCTCGGGGACAGGCAGAGCCCTCCATGGCTGACTGCATCTCCCCTTGCACATCAGGGGTTTGTGGAGTCGATGAAGCTGATCCTGGGAGGGTCCATGAGCCGCGTCGGGGCCCTGAGCGAGTGCCCTTTCCAAGGAGACGAGTCCATTCACAATGCAGGTAACAGCATGTCCATGCCCTGCGCCGAGCACAGGCAGCGCGGAGGGCTTACGGGGTCACCCATGCATGCTACGTGTGGTGGCACATGGAAGTGGGAGGTGACGGCACGTCGCACAGAAGGGTGCTCCTGCCTCTCCCAGTCCAGGTGTCCCCACGCAGGTGGGAGCTCCTGCGCTGTGCACACACTGACCAGGAGCAACCGTGCAAGGTGACACTGCTGGGCTTTGATGGCAGCATTCGGTAATATCTCATCTCTCTCCTTGCAGTGACAAGTGTGCTGGCATCCATCCTGGGTAAGTCCCTGCTCTGCTTCCCCCTTTCCCTGACATGAGGGTGATGGCAGCGTTTGGGGCTCCATGGAGGCAGAAAACCCTCCGCGGCCTGTCCCAGTGCCCCAAGTGCCTGCAGGGCCCCAGGATGGGGTGGATCAGAGGGCATGGGATGTGCTACAGGGGAAGAGGTCCTGTGTGGACCAGGGAAGAAGAGTAAGGGCCATCGGCTGTCTTGTCCTCCCGGTTCTGGGGGGGGCGGGCAGAGCAGTCCCCAGCCCGCGGCCCCGGGAGGCTGCCTCTGTCCTGGGGCTGACCTTGTCCTTTCTGCTCCTGGCAGGTGAGCAGACCAAGGCGCTGGTCACACAGCTGACCCTCTTCAACCGGGTCCTGACCGAGCTGCGGGAAGACATTAGGGACCAGGTGAGGCAGTGGGGCAGTATTGGCTCTCCCCGGGTTGGGTTTGCCCAAGAGCAGGGTGCCAGCCAGTACACTGCATCCCCTTGACGCTCTGTGCTCTGCTGCCTCCCAGGTGAAAGAGATGTCTTTGATCCGCAACACCATCATGGAGTGCCAGGTCTGCGGTGAGTGCTGGCGAGGCTCCACTCCCGCCTCAGGGGGCAAAGGGCCACCCCGTCTCACCCCCTGCCCGGCCCTCCTCTTCTCAGGCTTCCACGAGCACCGGTCCCGCTGCAACCCCAACCCCTGCTTCAGTGGCGTGGACTGCATGGAGACGTATGAGTACCCCGGGTACCGCTGCGGGCCCTGCCCACCAGGGCTGGAGGGCAACGGCACACACTGTGCCGACATCGATGAGGTGGGCACACGCTTGGGGCGGGTCAGCAGGTGACACCTGAGCCCCAGCGCTGCCAGAGCAGCGTGGGCAGATGATGCTTCCCCTCTCCGGGCGCATCCTCAAGCCGGGGAAGGGCCCCGCCGGGACGCCCTGGGGCAGTGGCCACCCTGATGTGCAGGATGCCATGCCCGAGGGTGAAGCCTTTCTCTCTCCCTGTGCCACAGTGCTCTCATGCCAACCCCTGCTTCCCCGGCTCCAAGTGCATCAACACGGCCCCCGGCTTCCGCTGTGAGCCCTGTCCCCGCGGTTATCGGGGCAACACCGTCTCTGGCGTGGGGGCTGACTATGCAAGGGCCAGCAAGCAGGTGAGTGTGGTGCCATGGGACTTGGCCGGGTCCCCGTGGGCACTCTGGGCTGCTGAGCTGCGGGGATGGGTGAAGGATGCTGTGTCTGCCAAAGGAGGGCAGCTTTCCTGGACAGGGCACAGCAATGGGCAGAGCTGCAGGCAGGCAAAGTCCCTGAGTGATGGTTTCTCCCACGCTGCTCGCAGGTTTGCACGGATATTGATGAATGCAACGATGGGAACAACGGGGGCTGCGACCCCAACTCCATCTGTACCAACACGCTGGTGAGCAGAGCTGCCCCGCTCCCCTGCCTGGCGTCCAGGGTCACTCTGCTCCCCTAATCCTGCCCCTGCCCTCTCTCTCCCAGGGCTCCTACAAGTGTGGTCCCTGCAAGTCAGGGTTTGTGGGGAATCAAACGTCTGGCTGCATCCTGCAGAAGTCCTGCAGCACTCCCACCTCCAACCCCTGCGATATCAACGGCTTCTGTGTGTTCGAGAGGAATGGTGAAATTTCCTGTGCAGTGAGTGGGGGACGGGAGCAGGAGGATGGCAAAGCGGGGGGGTGCAGGGAGTATCGGCACGGGCTGCCAGGGCCTCTCCCGGCTTCCCAGCCCCTGATTTCTTCTTTATTCAGTGCAATGTGGGCTGGGCTGGCAACGGCAACGTGTGTGGGCAAGACACGGACCTTGACGGCTACCCAGACGAGCCCCTGCCCTGCATTGACAATAACAAGCACTGCAAGCAGGTGGGTGTCCCGGAGAGGGAGGGCAGCATCCTCGGGCAGGGAGTGCTGGGGCTCAGGGAGCCCGTGGCAGGGCTGTGCTCCAGACCTTGTCTCCTCCCCGTCTTTAACGCTGGCTGTGCCTGCAGGACAACTGCCGCCTGACACCAAATTCGGGGCAGGAAGATGCCGACAACGACGGCATTGGGGACCAGTGTGACGATGACGCCGACGGCGATGGCATCAAGAATGTGGAGGTGGCTGTGCTGGGCGGGCAGGACGTGCCTGTGGCTCTGGGGGCTGTGCTGGGCAAAGGGCTTCTCTCTTTGGCTTGGTGCTGACACCCTCAAGATACTTCTCCTGGGGATCAGCAGGCTCTGGGATGGTCTTACTCAGTGTGCTGGAGGAGATGTCCTCCCGCCCTGACCTGTGTGGGACTGTGGCCTCTTGTCTGCCAGCCACTGCAGTGCAGGCATCCCTGTCCTCTTCCCCGCAGGACAACTGCCGGCTCTTCCCCAACAAGGACCAGCAGAACTCAGACACTGACTCCTTCGGGGATGCCTGCGACAACTGCCCCAACGTGCCCAATAACGACCAGCGGGACACGGACAGCAACGGCGAGGGGGATGCTTGCGATAATGACATCGATGGGGACGGTGAGCAGCTCTCGGGCCTGGCCTGCCTGCATCGGGCCGGGGCTACTTGCAGAGCAGGGGTGCTGTCATGCTAGGCTGGGGGGGGTGAGGGCATCCACCCAGCGCTGTCCTTGCAGGGATTCCCAACATGCTGGATAACTGCCCCAAGGTTCCCAACCCTCTGCAGACGGACCGGGATGAGGACGGCGTCGGGGATGCCTGTGACAGTTGCCCTGAAATGAGCAACCCCACTCAGGTATGGCTGGGGCCAGGCAGCGCAGGCTGGGGCAGGGGGCCTGGGGTGTGCAGGACCCTGCCCGGCGGGGGGGCGGGGGGTCCTCCTGCAGCACGGCTGGGCCCCCTCGCCCTGGGGTGTCCGCTGAACTAGGGCTCTGGTCTCCTCCAGACAGATATGGACAGTGACCTGGTAGGAGACATCTGTGACACCAACGAGGACAGGTGGGGACCGTGCTGCTGCAGGGTCACCTCCCCGTCCCGTCCTTGGGGGCAGAGCTGGGTTCCTGGCTCAGGGTCCCGGGGAAGGGGGATGACGGGGTTTTTGGGGTCAGCAAGGGTGCTGGGATGTGGTGCTGGGTCCCCGGTTTGTGTCACTGCTCTGACCTCATTCTTGCTCCCAGCGATGGGGATGGGCATCAGGACACCAAGGACAACTGCGCCGAGATCCCCAACAGCTCCCAGCTGGACTCAGACAATGACGGGCTGGGGGATGACTGTGATAATGACGACGACAACGATGGCATCCCTGACTACACGGCGCCTGGCCCAGACAACTGCCGCCTCATCCCCAACCCCAACCAGAAGGACTCGGACGGTGAGCGCGGGGTGGGTGGGAGGAGGCAGAGCCGCCTGGGCTCAGCCTGGCCCTGACCGGGGTGCATGTCCCCAGGGAACGGTGTGGGTGATGTGTGTGAGGAGGACTTCGACAACGACACGGTGGTGGACCAGCTGGATGTGTGCCCTGAGAGTGCCGAGGTGACACTGACCGACTTCCGCGCCTACCAGACCGTCATCCTTGACCCCGAGGGGGATGCCCAGATCGATCCCAACTGGGTTGTCCTCAACCAGGTGTGGGTGCTGCCCCCCAAGTTTCTGGGGACTGCGCTGTGGGGGTGGGAGCAGAGCGGGACTGGGAGGTCCCAGGCGCTGCTGGGGACACACCTTACTCAGCTGTCCCTCACAGGGCATGGAGATTGTGCAGACCATGAACAGTGACCCAGGCTTGGCTGTTGGTAAGAGATGCTGTCCCACCTGCAGACCCCGTGGGGCCACCCCCTACTCCTGTCCCCCTGCACTGGGGGGTGGGGGCCGGTTCTTTGCCCTGCAAAGGGGTGAAGGGTGGGCTGGAGGGAGCCGGGGTGCAGGGTCCCATGCTGGGGGAGAGGGCTCCTTGCAGAGTTTGCCCGCCTGTAGGCTACACGGCCTTCAATGGGGTGGACTTCGAGGGCACCTTCCACGTCAACACCGTCACCGACGATGACTACGCCGGCTTCATCTTCAGCTACCAGGACAGCGCCAGCTTCTACGTGGTGATGTGGAAGCAAACGGAGCAGACATACTGGCAGGCCACCCCCTTCCGCGCTGTGGCAGAGCCAGGGCTGCAGCTCAAGGTGGGAGCTGGCCACCCCATCGGCCGGGTCAGGCCCCCCGGCCAGGTCACCCCTGACACCCCGTACACCCGCAGGCAGTGAAGTCCTCGACGGGCCCTGGGGAGCACCTGCGCAACGCGCTGTGGCACACGGGCCACACACCCGACCACGTCCGCCTGCTCTGGAAGGACCCACGCAACGTGGGCTGGCGGGACAAGACGTCCTACCGCTGGCAGCTGGCACACAGGCCCCAGGTGGGCTACATCAGGTGAGCGGGGGCCGGGCACGGGGGGGGGCGTGGGGGGTGGTGGGGGGGGGGCAGCCCCAGTGCCAGCCCTGGTGGGACCACACTGGTGGGGGATGCTGGCCGTTAGGAGGGGGGGGCATGCTGGGGTGGGGGCTGCTCGCTGCTC